AAACAGCCTATGCCTTTCCAATGCGGGACTTTATTTCAGCACCTGTTCCTCCCTCTCTTTCAATTATACTCCCAAAATAGCAGAAGGATTCAAAGTCTTCTAGTGCATTTCCTTCTGTCGTGAACTTCTCCTTTCGTTGTACATCTGCCCTTAGGACCTTCCGGGGTGGTTCCTCAACCCCACAGACTCTGATAGGCTGTTTAATACTGAAGTTTTTGCTTTCATCTGTTCCTGGATATGTGACAGAAGCGCCAAGTCGTCCACAAAATCCAGATCGTCCAACTGTGTCCTTAAGGTCCACTGTATCCCATTCCTGTGTGATCTAGTGGTTCCCTTCATCAGTCAATCGACTTCCAATAAAAGAAGAGGAAAGGTGATAATAAACGTCCACGTCTCACACCAGTCTTGATGTCAAGGCTGTCAGTGAGCTGGCCATCATGTACAACCCTGCAACTAATAGTCCCTTCGTACATGCCTCGATGAGGTTCACCTACTTCTGTGGGATTCCGTGATGTCTCATTATCTTCCATAGTGTTGCTTGGTCTATTCTGTCAAAAACCTTCTCATCTGATAGTCAAAGAAATTGACGATCAGCTGGGAGTTCCACTCAAGGGACTAGACCACAAGGATCCTCAGCGTGGCAATCTGGTCGGTGGTTGAGCGAGTTTTCCAGAAACCAGCCTGTTCATCCTGTAGTCTTGGATCCGCTGCAGTTTTGATTCTCTCCAGAATAATTCTGTAGAAGACCTTACCTGGTATTGAGAAAAGAGTGATCCCTCTGTAGTTGCTGCCGTAACCTAGATTCCCCCCTTTTTTAGAAGCTTCACGATGTGTCCTTCTTCCTTTGGGAACTTGATCCATTCCAGATTCTGATAAACATTGGGGGGGGGGGGGGGGAGTCTACTGTCACATTTGGCATCTGTTTTTAGTTTTAGGAACTCCGGTGGAATCTGATCAGGACCAGCCGCTTTAGATCAACATTGGCATCCAGAATCTCTTGTTTTGAAGGAGCTCAGCAGATTGGTACCTCATTTTTAGCAGGCAGGATGTCTAGCGAGTTACTCGGTGGTGGTCTGTTCAGGAGACTATTGGAAAGCTTTACCCATCGTTTCGACTGATCAAAGCTTCCTTTCAAAAATGTTTTTTCCCTCTTAGTCCTGTAACTGGAAGAACAGGTTTTCCATTTTCCAGCAAGAGTATTTGTAGTCTAGTAAAGGTAGATTGTAGTCATTCGCATGTGCCCTCCCGCTGCTTCCTCTGCCAGCCTGTTCATGAATTCTTCATTGTCTTTTCTTAGTTATTTCTTGACATCCTTGGCTGTTGTCTTATAGGGCCTAGATTTCTACATTGCTCCAAAGCATCCGCTCTTTATCCTCTTGTTCTACTTGCATTCACTATTCTGCCTTCAGTGGTTGACTTCTAATCCTAATTAAATCCAATGAATTTTGGCCAATCGATTCCTTGTGCCCCCATTTCTTTGCACATAGATCTAGTACTTCTTAACATATTGATGTAAATATTTCTTTGACCTTGGTCCAGTGTATCTCCACTAGGCTGTGGTGTATTTGGTTGTTTTTTGTTGTGTCAGGGGGTTAGGCCTAGCCTATTGTATTGTTTGGCTGAAAGTGTGAGAGTGAGTAAAGTGTGAGTCTGTGTTCAGTTGTATTGTTTGCAAGTTGATAAAAGTCTGAGTTACTACTGGTGGGAGTTGGAGAGGAGAGAGTTGTATCAAGGCAGAGGAGGCCTGCTGACAGTGTAGATTGTGAGAAAGGCTAGTTAGAGCCTCAGTTCAGTTGTGCGTGAAGTGTGAGATTCCAATCCAACGCATCGGGGCCCCAAAGCTGCGGAAGGAATCACAACACAGAGCAGAGGAACAGGTTTGGCTAATTCCTGTTATAGTGGCATGTGACAGAAGGTTAGTAGCATAAAATCTTTGTTTTATGTTCCAAGTAACAACAAGCTATTTCGGCTAGAAATATAGATCTCTAAGCTGGGGCTGGATTCATCTAGATATAGAGTGTAGACTAGATTAAGTTGCTAGTTATGGCGGCAAAGATGGTGGCGGCTGTTCGGCCTGATATGGTTAAAACCTTTAGTGGGGAAGGGGATGTCGAGGCATGGCTTACTAAAGTAGAGTTAGTGGCAAAGTTGACGAACATTGATGGTGTCGCGAGCTTCATTCCACCGTGTCTGGAGGGGGAGCCTTAGCTGTCTATCTGGAGATGGATACGAAACAGAAGACTGACATTGTGGCCATTAAAAAGAGTCTGCGGGAAGCCTTTGCAGAGAATCAATTTACTGCCTATGCAAGGTTAAGGGAGTGTAGATGGGTGGGTGAAGCAGTAGATGTATTTGCTAACGAATTACGGAGGCTTGCAAGGCTGTGTGGGTTTACTGGGAATGGCTTAGAGCAGGTGATGAAGTTAGCATTTATAACGGGTTTCCCGGACAATGTTGGATTGGAGTTACAGCAAATCTTTGGAGTTGAGGGTATGAGGGTGACCGACCTTATTGGAAGGGCTCGTGTTTTGACTCAGAATTCCATGGGTGTAGCAGCTCCATCTGTGGAGCCGGCGTCCAAAGGGAAGAAATGGAGGGTCAAGTGCTTTCAGTGTGGTGGGCCACATCGTAGAAGACGACTTGTTTGTTTCATATGTGGCGAATAGGGGCATATTGCCTCTCGGTGCAAGGTCAACGAGTCAAGAGATCGGGGAGGGGGTGCCAAGAGCGACAATGGTACAGAGACTGGGACAGCCTGTGCAAGTGGCAAGTCAACTAATACATCCAAGGGCGGTGTGCGGGGTGTACCGATTATCACGGTCTACAGCAAAGGCAGGCGGCTTTGTGCGCTCGTGGACACTGGGTGTTCTAATACAATGATCAGGTCCCGGTTCGTGAATGACTGGAAAGGGGAGGTGTACACCAAAGCAGTCGACGGGAGGATAGTTAAATGTAAGGGAACTGCTCCAGTTGAACTTGAGATCGCTGGAGAGTGTGTTGAAGCCCAAGCCACTGTGGTTGATGATATCGTTGGTAGCATCGACGTGGTGATTGGAATGGATGTCATAGAGAAGCTTGGAGGGGTGACTGTTGGCGACAAAACTGTACAGTTTGGGAAGGTGGCGTGCGCTGTCGTGGGCGGGTCTCCGGCACAGGTAACGCAGAGGCCCGATGGACTTACCATCCAGGACAAAGATTTTGAGGCAACCTTCGATGGGAATGTATGGACAGTTAGGTACTTTTGGAAGGACGTTTGTGCCCCACAGTTGAGGAACAAGGTTGCCATGTATGACAGTGGAATGCAGGGAGCAACGAGGGAGCTTTTCAACAAAGAAGTTGAAAAATGGATTGAGGACGGAATACTGCTGCCATGGGATGGGGAGGTGGACGGAATTATCCCGTTGATGGCGGTCGAGCAGCTTACGAAAAACAAAGTCCGACCAGTCCTAGACTTCCGTGAGCTGAACAAGTACGTAGAGCCATTGGGAATGTTGCAAAGAGTAAAGATTATATTATAATACATTTGTCTTGCTCAGCAGAACTTGAGATGGCCCTGTTTTTGCATTTTCTCTGTATTTTACTTTTGTTAAAAATACCCATGACGACGTGAAAGAGCAGGTTTCATTTGAAGCGTCAAAAACTGAAGCACATAATCAGGCATCCTGGCTTCACTAGAGATGGTGTCACATGCTAGAGTCAGTTAGCCTAGATTTTGCACTTCGTGTGTAACCTTCCAAAGAGACATTGTTGGCCTACACTACTACTACTACTTGTTGAGTAGGGTTTTATTATTTTTAAATGGAAACCACTGAAAAACTGTGCAGAAACTGATTTGTGGCGATTTTGTGGGACTTTCCAGCGATATTCCATCTTGATTGTTAGCGTAAGCTGATGCGGCTGGCAGAAGTCTTCATGAAAAGATTTGCGGAGCAAATGAAGGACAGGCGAAGAAAAAAATAGCAAAGTAACTTTTTTTTCAGAGGTAAGGGATTTCTCAGTTATCTCTCCTCTCTCTCTATCTCTCTCTCTCTCTCTCTCTCTCTATATATATATATATATATATATATGTGTGTGTGTGTGTGTGTGTGTGTGTGTGTGTGTGTGTATGTGTCAAATTAATTTTCTTTCATATTTGTTGAAACGTGTGTGAGAACGATGTTGCAAGTGAAGAACAAAAGTTATCCCACACTAGTGTGCCATGGTCTTTTTTTTGCGGTAAAATGCAAACGTAATTCATTTTCATGTTTACGAATTGATACTCTGTCACTGGAAAGATTTTCTTTTGTTATAAGAGCCGACAAACTCTCACAAAAAAGCTGCAACAACAAAAATGCATTGCATTTAAGTAAGGGTCTTTGTAGGCCAGTCTAGTGAGTACAGTGCGATAATGCTCCATCACCCGCACTAACGCCATAGTCTATCGCTGCTTTTCGCATTGACCCTCCGGGAACGTGGTAGGCCTCCAATGCCGGGGCCAAACATCCGAGATATATATGGCCTGACTGAGAAAGCCTAGCTAGGCATCAGCCCAACTGAAACACACACACGGGCGAGTTCAATCAGAGTCGATATGTTCTGTACATCTATGGTTATGTACTATCTTTGGTTCAATCATAGAGTATACATCTATGGGTTCAATTCAGAGGGGAGCCAAAATGGCAACAAGGACCGTTGCCCATCATCACGACAAAGGCCACATGTTCATAACGCCAGGTTGGCTGTGGTGTATTTACTTTGGCGGTGAAATGGAGCAACGGTTTGGACATTCATAAAACCCCTCAAGTTGGTGGTTTTTGGTTGCTTCGAGATTCAGTGTTGGGACGGAGTTGTTTGACACATAGTTATTATTATTGGTCGTGTCATTTCGGTGAAGGTCTTATTACTGATTTTGATGGTAATAAACACTGTTTTTCTTTTTTTTCTCTGCTCATATCTTATCTCGAATCCTCTTTGGCCACAAAGTAGCCTATGTTAATTCAGTTTCGGCCATGATACGGAACGGCTCATACTTCCTGGCAAACTAGACCTGCGCAGAACCAGCAAATTCGTGAATAAACGTCGTGTGTAAATTTTATGTTGATTTCTAGAAAAAGATCCTGTTACTTGTTTTGCTAAAGTTAGACCAAGTCAGAGTGAATTAATTTGTCCCAGGCCCCACCCTTTATTGCTGCAGGTAAGTTGTGATGGATTATCATCAGTTTATCGTCTTACTGCCTGAATTCCTACCCATCGTTTAAGGCCTCTCTAGCCTACCAAACGCCGGTTTTTCCGGGTCGTGCCGGTAGCCTATTATTCATTGTGCACGATCTATCCTCTAGAATATCTACACTCACTGACATTGTACATTCGTCAATCATCAATGGTATGGTCTGCCGATTCCTAGATCTAGATTCTAGTCCTAACCGAAATGAAGCTGGCTTCATCAAATATTAATCTTAGTTTTCCCTGTCTTTCTCTTCTTTAGGTTAGGCCTCAGAACATGCGACTACACTAAATTGTGACTAAAACGTAGAACGACGCAAACTCTATTTTTAAGTAAGGGAGCCATCTTGTATGACATCAGAACGGGATACCCCTCCGATCACATGACTAGATCTACATGATCTAAATATAGCCAACCGCATGGCACCAAAGATCGTGTAGATCTAGAATATTGACGTACCATGGCCATGATATGGCACGACATTTCAATTTGGACCAGTTTGGTGCGATCGATGTCATGTTTTTTCAGGAGACTTACCGGTATGATGCAGTGATCCGTTGATGATGCTGCTGCTTATCTTTTCTGGGCATTGTTTATCGGGCCCGGGGGGAGGGGATATTCTCCGGGTGTCTTTACGGCAATTTTGGCTGTACTGTGTACTTTATCGGACATCCAGTCTGGGCCCGTGATTACTACGCACGCCTAGCCTAACTACGCGCTCATAGTTCTCTACGTGCGGACAAAATGTAGTTCCACGGGCAACTTCGCGAAAGTTGAGATAATTGAACACATTACACATGTCAGCCGATCTCGTGAGAATGTGATCTCATGTGTGTGTTGTTAAAGGCCATGGGATCAAACCGAGGTGTGAATTCGCCATCTCGTTTGTTTTCCCCAAAAGTTGAACTTGCTTTGAGTTCTCCACCTAAACTTACATCGTCATCACACACTGGGTGGGTAGGGCCTATAAGTCTGCTCTAGGCGTGACCACAGCAAACAGAACTTTTCCTGAACCATTGAAGGACTCTGAATTTTAATTTTTGTGGTCACAAAGCAAAGTAATGGTGAGTAATGACAGGACTCCGTCAGAGATGGGATGGAAAGCGTTTGATTTTGGACAGCGTGCCGTAAATCTTGAGTCTCACGATAGGATAATAATTGAAAATGGCATCTGCATGCCTCATGCCTCTGTGATTGGTCATGACGAAGGTTGACCTCACTTTGCTCGCCATGTCATAACGAAGTGACTTCGGACTGGAGTCCGAATATGAAAAAATGTTATTCGGACTCTGATTCTTGTCCAGCATGACATCACTTCCGACTTCTTGTGACTTGTGACTCCGGCTTCCTGTCCTGCCTCACTCGTGACTCGCCTCAGGCTGGGTAGAGATCGGGATTACTTCGGGCAAAAAGGCGTTTTGTGCAGGAGCCGAGTTGTTATCTTATGATGAATTTGAGGCCGGCCTGAAAAGTTATAGCGCTTCTAATAAATGTTTATTTGTCAAGAGATCGTCAGAAGCAATTAAAGATGGCTCGTTAGCGTGTGTCGGGGTCAGATGGGCGACCTGCACACGTGTGGCTGTGTGCGTGTCAGGGGGGGGGGGTGGCACTATCGGTCCGGGCGTTGAACGTCGCATACGCGTCAGTCTTTTTCCCCCTGGCAACTGATCATTATTACAATAATATAGGCCATAAGTTATCTTGACGTAGATCTATGTAATGAATTGTGCACTGGTCTATGAAATCAAAAGTTGCCGTATGCTCAGCTCTACACAGCAACACAACTTTTTCTTGGTAAACAATCGGGATGACACAGGCTTGTGTATTTTGAACGAATCGGTCTTTTTTTTTACACTACACAGCTCATAATATGCAGGTGCCAGGTGGTCTGCTAATCTTCAATTTTACCTTTTTCTACAACAAAGAAAGTGGGAAACATGGGGGGGGGGGCGTATCAATCATAATCAATGAGGTGGTGGGCATCGGATCGGCAGAAAAGGTGTGGGGGAAACTAAAAAATGGCGGAAAATTGGAAGCACTGAACGTTAGATCTATAGAACCAAGACACTTCCTTTTTTCCGGACCCGAGTCCGAATAACATTTTTTCATATTCGGACTCGAGTCCGAATAACGACGGCCTTTTATCTTATGAATTTGAGGCCGGCCTGAAAAGTTATTGCGCTTCTAATAAATGTTTATTTGTCAAGAGGTCATCAAAAGCAATTAAAGATGGCTCGTTAGCGTGTGTCGGGGTCGGATGGGCGGCCTGCACACGTGTGGCTGTGTGTGCGTGTCGGGGAGGGAAGGGGGGGCACTATTGGTCCGGGCGTTGAACGTCGCGTACGCATCAGTCTTTTTTCTCTCCCGGCAACTGATCATTATGTAATAATAAGCTAGTCTTGACGTAGATCTACGTAATAATGTAATAATTCTGCGCTTGTCTATGGAATCAAAAGTTGGCGTATGCTCACACAGCAACACAACTTTTTCTTGGTAAACAATCGAGATGACACAGGCTTGTGTATTTGAATGAATCGGTCTTTTTTTTTACACAGCTCATAATGTGCAGGTGCCAGGTGGTCTGCTATCTTCAATTTCACCTTTTTCTACTACAACAAAGAAAGTGGGAAACATGGGGGGGGGGGGCGTATCAATGAGGCGGCAGGCATCGGATCGGCAGATAAGGTGAGGGGGAAACTAAAAAATGGCGGAAAATTGGAAGCACTGAACGTTAGATCTATAGAACGAAGACACTTCCTTTTTTCCGGATAACATTTTTTCATATTCGGACCCGAATCCGAATATTAAAAAATTTTTATTCGGACTCGAGTCCGAATATGAAAAAATGTTATTCGGGCTCGAGTCCGAATAAAGACGGCCATGTCATAAACCCACCCAGGAGTCACATCAGTTCAGTTTAGAGTGAAGGGAGACCGTTTTACCGGTTGTGGGCCTTAACATGGTTCACAGTAGATTCTCCCCTTGGTGTGTCAGCTAAGATCCTGCATTTTCCTTGCCCCCGAGCTCTGGGATCTTAGGCAGAGACTATACTGTCTTCTAATTCAGTAATCAAGGAAGGACTTCTGTAATATGCAACCACCCCTGCAAACACAATAAAGAAGGGAACTTACCCTGACCCTAACTTCACCCTAACCCTATTTAAGCTGAGTTGCCGCTCATTATGGAATTTTTCCCCCAATCAATAGTCACTGTGCAGTCAGTTGGGTCTAGTTTTAGGCTTAACTTGTAGCCAGTTGTTACTTCTGGTTTAACCCAATTCGTCCTCCGTTGCCACGGCAGTGCACTTGTGTCCACCTGGCTTGCCGCGAGCTGGGGGGAAAGATCGGTCTGAACTCAACACTAACCTTAAACACGCCTGGTGCCCAAACTATTTAAGGTTTCAATATGACATTTGGCTTAGATTTTACTTATAATGTTCTTTTAATATTATTAGAGAGAAAGAAGAAAGGGGGCTCTTGGGGCCTAGAGGTTGAGGTGCTGGCCTCTCTTTCCAAGGTCCCGGGCTCGAATCCGGGTAGTGACCGAAAAATTTTCTTCTCTAAAATTGTCTCCTTTCACCTCCTTTCCTACTCTCTAGCAATGTTCTGTCACATGTTTTCGTCTCCTCTTTCTGCCCTCACCTCCTTTGCCCCTTCCTCTGGGCTCCTGACTCTTTCTGCAGCGTTTCTACTGCTACTCCTTGGCTCCTTCTTACTGCTGTCTTACTTTCCAGCCGCACACCTGATCTTCTGGTAGGAAAGATCTACACCTAGTCTTCTTGGACAAGGACGAAAAGTCTTGGAGGGCTTGTGTGCAAGTTGCGCATGGTAAAGATCCCTGGGTGATCTAAAATTGATAAGAGTAGGCTTTGGCCGCAACACAGGCAAAATTCAAAATTTCCTACCAGCTGGAAAAAGTTAAATGCGCTCATATGACCTTATGCAGTTGCGAGCGCCGTAAAACACTTACCGAAAGAAGAAAGAGCAGAGAAAACTATATTCTTTGTCCGACTGTGACTCATCGGCACTCGATTTAGCCATGGCTACTTATTGTAAATCTATGGTCTAGATCTAGCTTTTCTTCGAAGTTTTCAGGGCACTACCATTTTATTATCCGATCGCCTTTTTTTCTAGATTTACATCTACTTTCACCTTCTTTGTCGCTTATGCCTAACACAAAACTAAAAACATGGTTCTTGTATTTTAAAATCATTAGAAAAAGTCATGATGTTCATCTAATTTTGTTGTTTTTCTGATTCATATTGTTTGTTCTGCTTTTTAATCTCATAAGCAACTGACACCTTTTTCCACCCCTAGCTGTGATCAATGGACCAGGAAATGGCGGACGAGGAGGCAAAGATGCTTGAAGAAACTACTGAGGGCGAAGAAGCCCCAGCACAAGGAGAGGCTGCTGGAGATGCCAGTGCTGCCCAGGAAGAAGGGAAAGATACCATAAAGATGGAGGAAGAAGTTAAAACAGAGGAGGAGCTTGAGCAGGAACTCAAGGAGACACAAATTAGTATACTGAGGTATGCTCCTCACAGCATACCGGACTGGAGCCTAAATGAGATGAAAGGTTTGTTATTAGAACTGTTTGTAATGTATCATCATTGCTGTTCTCACCGTGGATCAGGGTAGAGGCTAGCAACAATCATTTTGTCATTTTTCCATTATCTTTGGGATAGCTTCTTGACATTCTTCCATGTCTTTCCACTTTTCTGTGGTTTTCTTCAGGTTCCACCTGGCTTTCCCCTTGTTTTTCAACTCTGTGGATCCAATTGAATGCTTTAAAAAATAATTTTAACTCCTGCATTCAGCATGCCAGTTCAGCTGGCTCATGACTGTTTACAGTCATTACAAGAATCTACCAAACCCCTGCAAACTTATCTAATTAATCAAAAATCAAAATAGATGTTAACTGCTGAGATCTTTTATGTCCACTCAATTTGGTATTACATATTAGTTAAATAGGAATGGAATTATATAGTAGGGAAGTTTGTGTTGTTGAAAACTTGGATGACAACATAGGCTGCGTACAAAGGGGGCATAGCCTTTGGTATACTCAGAGTTGATGTATTTTGTTTGTTTTGCTAATTTGTTTACGACATGGTTGGAGGGTGCCTCTGGTAGGTCCTGCTTCTTTTTTTCCCCCCTGTTGTTTCTGTCTTGTCTGTTTTGCTTTTTCCTTTCACAAGACGAATTGTAATACATTGATGTGCTTCTCTTTACTCAAACAAGCAAACCACGGGGTAGCTTCTTCACTTTTCAACCATAGTAGTATAGGTACTGAGTATTATATATGTCCTTTCAATCTTGTTCATAGCGAAATTTCGTTGGCATTGTTTTCATGTTTTGATTTGAACTGTTGTTGCAGCAAGGTTGTTTTTTTTTAATCAGAAAAAAAATGTCAATTTCTTGGATTTCATTATTTTGGCGATGGCATGGTTTCACCACAATGACAATGCCACACATTATAATTAGTTTCATGTTAACCATTTTTGATGCTGCTTTCACTTACAGAACGCTGGATGTGGAACATAAGAATCTTCCCGATTGATCAAGAAGACTGCCGGAATTGCTTGCTTGACAGTGCCACGAAGATAGCGCAAGAGTCATGGTATTATGTACCAAAAAGAAAAAATGGGCAAGGGTAAGTTTATTAAATCAATTCCAGGCATAAGTTTATTGTCGCTGGATCAGGCGTTTTTATATGGCCGAACATTCAATTGTTTAATATTCATGTTTCATTTGACTTCTGTTACCTGCCTTTTCCTGTAAGAATCCATCTTGTTATGGCATGATAATCCTTAGATTGTCATATATCTCAAATGTTGAAATAGTGTTTTTCACGGATTGAGGTTCCCAGTTTTTGTTTATTAAAACTCTTTTTATCCAGGCTACGAGTATACTCACATCGAGGGCAAAGCTACGATAAAACTCAGAACAGCTATTCGGTCACGTCAAACAGCTAGTTCTGCTTGTAATTACTGGGCAAAGCTATGATAAAACTCAGAACAGCTATACGGTCACGTCAAACAGCTAGTTCTGCTTGTAATTACCAAAATGCGCAAATACGGCGATGCTAGCGCTGTCTGAATATTTCAATTTTCCAATGAACAGCGGTTTCTTTGTGGGTGCAGAAGCTTGAAAAATGTCTCAGATACACACATTCAGGATCGACCAAGTTCTTCTTGAAGTGGTGCTGGGTTGTGAGGGGGAATGAGACTAATTTGATGAAAGTTACTCTGAATCAAATGCAGTAAATTCCGTTGTGGATGATAACGAACAGGAATTAGACTCATTTAATAGTGATTCAGATCATGGTGAAGGGATCGGTACTGGAATTGGTGCAGTACCGATGGCTAGGGTTAGATCTATGCATCCACGGGCATGTCCTGGGCGTGGCAGTCAGGGCTGAATTCCAATTTGTATGGTGCGGTGGCCCCAAGACGGGTACAGTGTCCGTGGGGGTACAGCCAGGTTGAAAAGAGTTAATCTTTGGAGCCATGAATGTATAAATGAATAATTCGAAGCACCTGCAAAGACCGAGCTGATATATGATATATTTTAATAACTTTAAGGTGATTTAATGTATTTTCTTATTCTGGAAGAAATGTTGAACAAAAAGTTTTAAGTACAAGAGATCCGTTGTCATTTCAATTAATTATTTTAAAAGCAACAAACATTTGTATTGAATTTTTATCTCCCCATTTCAGCACAGCTGAGCTGTCCATGGTATCTGCCAGTGAAGCGAAACAGGTGATGGGACGTATAATGCGCATGCCTTTCTATCACCGTTTTGTCACCGTAGAGATCAACTGTAGACGCAATCCAAACGCACCAGCAGACAGCTCTGAATCACCTCAGGGTCCATTCACAGAAGTGCAGGAGACAGGTATTTGTTATTGCAGACAACTTTGTTTTCTTCCCCCTCTGATAAACAGGTTCACATCATGTAGATAGATGTTGTGTTAATGTGCTAGTGACGTATGAACGCCCTTGTCTGTTGATGACTACAGAACACCTGTGCTTTGCTAAAAAAAAATTTCATTTGCTTGTATTTATGTGCACTTTTTGATGACTATAGGCTTGCCAACCTTCCTGAATTTTTCGAAAAATTCCCGAATTCATCGTTGTTCCCGTACCTTTCCCGAAACGTGGTTGAGCTGTTTTTGTGGTGTGGGTGTTTTTTTTAGTAGCCTCTCTCAGAAATGTGTGTCCGTGGCGCTCCGGCGCAGTCAAAATTCCAGAATTCAGTATCTCAGAAGTTGGTGAGCCTGTGACTATTATTATTAGCAATGAATATAAGTTGAGTTGCAGGAATTTCAAAGGAAGTAAAGGATGTAAAAAAAATCATTTTTAAGCTTGATTGCATGTGGTTGGGTCTGTTTTAGTTATACCAAAATTTGTTCTTCTGTCTATTTTTTTAAAAAATCCTTTCAGGACTAAAGTAGTATAGTATTGCTTTTTAAAGTTACTGGGGGGGGGGGGGGGGGGGGTATCCTTTCAAGACTAAAGTATATAGTATTGCGAAGAGCTGCATACCACCTATGGAAGTCTTCTAGAACCTGGAATGTATTTTTTTTCCCGTTCCTCACTTTTAGTTCTCATGGCCCTTAAAATTAGTCTTTGTCATTTTTGATGAAACAACAGTAAAAGGTTGGTTTGAAAATTTGCAGTAGTCTTTGAGAAACCATACAAATTTGCTTTCAGTTAAGTACTTGAGCAAGCATTTTTTAATCCACAGCGAAAGTTTTGTGTTTGAATATGGATGAACTGATTGTTGTTTCTTATATATCATTTTAATAATGATCAATGTTTAATTTGTCCTTGGTCTTTTTATTGTTTCAGCCACAATAGTGCTGGATTCCACAAAATGTGAAAGAATTAAGAATACAGCGAAGTCCATAGGTAAGACATTTATTCGTTGAAAGGAGTTCAGAATTATTTTGAACTTTTTTTTTTGTTTGGGGGATATTTTTTTCCCTCTCTTTGTTCATGCTGTTACTTCAGTTTGGAAACAGGCTGTTCATTAATAAGGAAGCTTTAGGAGTGAAGTCTTAGTGATTCAAAAAAAGTTAAAGCCATAACTACATGATGGCTAAACAGTTTTTGACAAGCTCACCTTGCCATAAAAGTATAAAGTGAATTCATGTGTAAAATAAAGAAGAAAAGTGTGAGGGCAGCAGTGTTATACTGTTATTGCCTGGCACACACAGTGTGTACTTTTTCCCCACCATTGACCTGTGCATGTAAACATGCGTGCTGCCGGCACAGCAGTGCCTAGTGCAGGTGCTGAGCCACACTACACAACAGGGGCAGACACAGCCCTCTCTACACTCACTGCCCTCGTCTACTTTCACAGGAAGCTTCAAACGGCGAAATCTCTGGGTGAGATATTTGCCTGAAAACACAAGCCCAGACTTGCTTCGTGTTCTCTTTCCTCTCACGCAAAGTGTACCCCAAGTGCAAACGCATGACGATTTGCGGTGAGTAAGGAGGGGTGGCCTGATGCTTGGCTCAGTCCATGTCGTCTCCCCCCCTCAAATAAAAAACTGATTAGAGAAAAAAAAAGATAGATGTCTGCCGGCAGTGACACTGTCTTGGTCAGACCGTGTCCTGAAAAGGACATGCCGTCAGTGGCATAAGAAATTATTGCGTACAACAAATAGTGTTATCAACAACACCCTGCTGCAGAGCAGGGTGTTCAGTACTGTCCAGGAGGTGAAGGTTGTTCCAGAACACCTTCACTCGCCCTGCAGTGAAAACAACACTTTGTTTATTGTACGTAGAGTTATTGTTGCTTTTCATCTAGATCTACCTTCCTTCCGTTTTTTGCAGACCTTGTGGAGGTAAGTGATGATTGTGCTGTTTAGAAAGGATTCTTGTAGACATTCTTAATGTTGATTACAGACATAGGGAAGCTTTTCATATTTGTTCTTGATTTTTAATTTTTTTTAAAAAAGAGAAATAAATAAACGATTCCTAACTAGTCTAGTGTCTTAACTCACTTGAGCTTACTCCTGGGTATTTACGTGACATGGCGGTGGCGGATTCCTGTGTATTTACAGGATGCTGTTTATCGATAAATATCTACGATGTGGGGGGGAGGGGGGGGGGCTTTGTAGCTGTAATAGATGATTTTATTTCAAATTGGGCACCAAAAGAAGATAAATTGCATAACCCCCAGACATTGCCGTTTCAAAGTATTGATAAAACAAAAAGTATCCCGACAAATTATATGCTGTTTTCTTTTTCTGTGAGAGCATTTCTTTCTTTCTCTTGTTGCATTTTTTTGAAAAATTGTGATTACTTCCACTGTGTTTTTTATAGTTAACGATTCAATATACCCCAAAAGTGTGGGGGTGCAATTGTTGTTTGGTGAAAAATAGTAGCTCAGACTAAGTTAGTTAAATATTTCTATGATACCAGAAGGTAAACTACATGTCTTTGTGAATACCGTAGATATAATCTGTCTCCTCCTTGTGTTGATGTCCCAGGGAAATATTAAATGTGTGTTCTTCACTGTTCAACAAGTTGCATATTATTTCCGTTAACCCCTTCGTTGCCAGGGTGTGTTGTGTTTTTACTGTCGACACTGATTTTCAACTAAGCTCGTTAGCCAAGACACCAGTCTTATGTCTCATCATTGTCAGTGGACTCACTGTCTAGGTCTAACCCACTCATGACATTTTGACCACGGGACTTTGGTATGTTCCCTACCTTACCCGTAATTTTGAAAAGTTTACAAATGTTAACTCTTTTGTCCAGGCTATGAGTATACTCATAACGAGTATCGACAGATCATAGGTAGGGGTATATCTGTAAATCCGAGGGAACATCATGGTGAAAGAAGGGGGCGTGGCAATCAGGGTCGGGTCAAGATGGGAGGGTGGAATACACCTCAAAATTTACATAATGCATTTGGTGTAATTCCTGAGCACATAAATTTTCAGAAACTACATTCTAAAATCTTGTAAATGTAAGAAATACAACACTTAGTCAAAAAGTGAATTTTGTTTCCTTTGCTCAGTTATTCTAGTGTTTATGTCTTATCGTGCATTCATCTGCAAGGCAAGACCTGTATTTATCGATCACTTGAAAGCCTAGCAGTAAACTAATACTAGCATTTTTTATACTGATATGGGCGTTCTTTCTTCCCTAATACGAATCCATGCTGTGCTGTACAGAAAAATTGGAGCCAGATTCTTAGTGGGACCTACATGTAACATCTTATAGGCAACTAAGAACAGCAGATGTTGCCAACCACCATGATCCATCAGGTTCATGGTACGGGACAAAGCTAAAAATTACACATTTTAATGACGTACAAGGTATTTCATAAGGCAACGAATGGGTAAAGCTGCGGATACTTAATCACTTCTGCTTGGCGGTGGTCTCCACTCCTGCCTCTTCAAGCGTTTATTAAGTGGACTGTTCTTAGAATGAAGACTTCAGTGATGTTTGTGATATCTGGAGCAGCCATACGTTTTTCTGTTTTTTCCTCCATTCGTGGTGCTGATGGAATCTCTTGGTCAGGAATCTCCTAGAAATGTGCATGCTGTCATCAAGAATGTGTTCAGTAATTCATCAATGAATGTTTTCACTCTGAAGTTCTATTGACCAGTTTTCTATTTATCTCAACATGCAATCGGTTTCTCCGAACACTTACACTAGGAAAATGCAGCAAAAGGGTCTGTCTATGGGTTGAGTCTCATTAATGTTTAAATGTTGCACCATACCATGTTAGTTTTGCTGAAAGATCCAGTCATACAGCTTGTGGTGATGGTCAGGTGGATTTTTTTTAAAATGAGGTTTAGATTTGTGATGCTTGTATTTAGCACTTCTTTGGTTCTCTGCCACACAAGTGAAGTAACTCGCAATGAAAAAATAACATGAACTTGGGGGGGGGTAGGACTAATGTGAATTGTACTGTGAGTATTTGGGTGGAAGTGGATGGGGGAAGAGAATCTAGGGATTACCTTTTAATTTTTATTTTTTAAAATGATTTTATACGTGTATTGCGATGTTCTGTGAACTTTTCCATCCTTTTTGGCCAATTGCTGTCATCACTGCAAACTGTTGACGCTTTACAACCCTGAATGTATTGGTAATATGGGTGGACATTGAAAAAATTTCCTTTATGCTAAGTTTTTCTGTGTATCTTAAGACTAAAATTTTTTAAAACTTTCTTTTTAGGTTAGGCTTCGGGTATTGGTTGCTCATACGCGTCAACCATAGCGATAGCTATTAATATGCGCAATTGTTGCCAAATTGTTCTTTTTGTTTGTAAGGGGGGTATTCTTAAGTGGATCAATACATCAAATCAAAACTAGGAAATCTTAAATTTACTGTGAAGAATTGGGTTGTACAACTTGTTTTTGGAAAGTTAAAAGTCAACTGTCGTCAACATGGGATATTTAAGTTCGTTTTGTGAGAGTAGGATTTTTTTTGAAAGAGGATGGGGTCTGTATAATTTGTCTTGAAGCTGGTGGGGAAAATCTGTTTATTTGTCCTTTTATTGTGAAAACTTTCTCAATGCAAAAAGTTTTATGTGAAATATATATATTCGTAAAAATTTATAGGACTGTTGTTCTATTCATCATAGCCTACTTTGGAACCTTGCTTTTTTCTCTTGTTTTCAAATTTGATTCATTATAATAATTTATTTGTATTTAATTTACGTTTATTTTCTTTGTGGGTTATCGAAGGTAGTCTGGTTTAACATTTGATCAAATTTTCTGTTTGTGCCCTTTTTCAGGGAATGTTGAGGGTAGCTGTGGATTTTGTTGAATGGCTGAAGTGTGGAAGCTTTCCTTTATGTTTCACTGATTCCTTTTTATTATGTGGTTCCCTCAGAGTTGGGGTCATAGAAACCAACTCTAAGACTGATGTCCTGGTCTTCATGAAGGCTTACCTCACGGTTACCATCAACGGAGCGCATGTCCTGGCGCTGCAGAACAAAGAACCTGAGAAAGAAACTGGTAAGTGACTTTTTAAAAAGTTTTAGTAGAGGTTTTACGGCGCTCGCTGCTGCATAAGGTCATATGAGCGCCAGGGGTGGATGTCAACAGAACTCCTTACAGGGAATCAGACTCTGCTCACCTCTCTAGCTTCAACAGCACAAAGTCTGCTTTGACTATCAAGGCAACCCAGAAATAACAGGTCACAAGAGCTTGACAAACATACAAAAGAAGTAGAGGAAAATCACGATAGTAAGGATTAGGTTGTAGTTCAGGCACAGTTATTAGCATGACATTGTTGAATCCGCCCATTTACAATTCTACTGTGCATAAGAACGAGAAATATCCCCCCTTTGGGAATGGCCTAGACACTTCAGTCAGTGGCGCCGCACGGTGGGGTAGTGGCTCTTTACGTATAAGAAGCATTAGTTGTCTTATGGAAGAACTGACCTGACCCGTGTATAGTTTGTCCTAGCTTTTTTCGGGCGGAGATTGGCCATGGTTGATCGTTCATTTTGTTTTTGTTTGTAATGGAGTTTAGTATCATCAAGAAAAAAAATTGTGAAATTGTACTGGCTTTTGCTATAATGAGTGCTTTGTCCTGAAGTGAAAGGTCTCTTTTAAAAGTTATTTGTCTGTTTTTAGGACTTTAGAGAAAGTGGTAAAGTTTTGTGAAGCGCTCACTATTTGATTAGTGATAAAAGTTTTGTGAACTCCACACATTCTGTTAAATGGGAAAGTTCTTTGAAGCACACTCATTTTGATAAGTGGGAAAGTATTGTGAAGTGGGAAACATACGTCTTTGTTTTTGTTTCGTGCACAACAGAAACCAAGGAGGAACTAGAGAAGACGGTGACTGGTCTAGAAGAGCTGGAGGTTGCCCCCGTGGAGGCGGCCGATCGCTCTGACCTGAGGAAGGGAGACAAGGCCCAGACCACCCGCATCCTCAAGCGCACCCTCCACCTCCAGCAGAAGAGTGCCGACAACCGACGCCGGGACTTTGGTGGCGGCAAGCGAGGACGCGGGGAGCCCCCTGCCAAACGTGGTGGCGGCCACTGGGTGGACCGTCGCTCAGGCAGTGGAGGAGGGCGATTCGGTGGCGGGTTTGGCGGAGGGTTCGGTATGGAGCCAGGTTTTGGACACCGCGGTGGTCGAGGAGGTTATGGGGGCGGGGGTAAGTACAGGGCTCACAAGCTGATTAGTATGCTACTTGTATGTGTCGTGACATGGTGGAATCAGGCGCTCATCAATTTTTGGGCATGTGAAATTAAATTTTCGCTCTGAAGAAATGTGTTTTAAGATGGACATAAGGGGTATTTAGCCCTGTAAGAAATAAAATGGAAAAAAAATGACCATCACGGGAGGAAAAATGCTGGTTACTTTGAATTTATTATTTTAATGAGAGCTTGGTTTCACCATGAGGACACAGTGTTCATCACCTAAGATCTCTACTGACTTACTTACTCGCTTATGGAGGTGCTTTTTGATTTAATGTTTCATTCCTCTTGCATCATTTATGTTATCGGAATATGGGTGGGGCTAGACTTGAGCAGAGTATGTGGCTTACAACAGTGAAAGGCTGTTTGCCAGTGATCTCTCTCTCTCTCTTAAACCATCCTGCTGGCAATTTGTGTGTCTATTCCTAGACTCAACATTGCACATGTTGTACTGCAGAGATTTGTTTGGCACTTGCTTTCCAGACGCATTCTTTGTATTTTAAATTAAAAATTTGTGCTGTTTTCCTCATTTTTAATAATCTGCTCCTTCATATTTTGCTTAAATCTGATATTATATATTTTTTTATAGTATATTTTTTTCTTCTAGCCATCTCTTTTGGGCCATCATACGGTCTCCTCTCTGTCTCATTATCCAACCAATGATTTTATGTCATTGGAACACTTAAAAAACATTGTTCTTCCCCTAAATTCAGGTCTCATGGACACCCAGGGCATGGCGGCAGAGATGATGATGATGCAAGCCCAGCTGAACCAGACCATTCAAAACCAACTGATGATGTTGAACCCTCGCGATGAGCCTATGGGTTATGGCGCTGGTGGAGGAGCAGGCTGGAGGGGCGGACGTAGAGGTGGTCGTGGTGGTGGAGGGGGAGGACGCAAGTGAGTCGGGTGTTTTGTACTGCTTAATTATAGATGAAGTTCAAGTGGCGGGTTGTTTGTTTAGTTGGGGTTGTTTTTTTACTATATTGTCTTATTTTAAAAGTAAATGTGTGTGTGCCTGGTGAAAGGGACCACATGTCGCATTTTGAAAAATCCCTTTTTTTGGCATTTTCTTGTACAGAATTCATTTCTGAACAATGTGCTTTTTAAATTTTGAAGATATCTTCAGTAGTTTTTGAGATATGGGCGATTTTGTAAGGCAGGGTACGGAAACAAAGTTTTGAGAAAAACGGCTCTAAAGTTTCACCTTTGTTTCTGCAGAAAAAACAAAAACAGAGCACCCTTTTTTCATAACAAGTCACCATTCTAGGAAAAAGGTTTCGCTGTTGCTGAAATATAATGTTGTTAAATCATGTTCATAATTATTATTGTTTTGTTTAAAAACTTTATACCCCCCCTCCCTCCACCTTCATCTCCTGCAACACACACAGGCAAAAAAGTATCTTCACCACAGTAACTAGGGAACTTAACACTATCAATCATCAGGGTCAGAGGAACACTTTTTGTTCCTTACCCACTTAACAAGATTGCCACATATCCAGATCTTAGAACCCAGACTCTCCCAGGAAATAAATGAAATTTTGTTCTGCATACATTTAGAATTAAGAAAACAATGCACTACTATGAGTAAGCTAGATCTAAACTAAATCTAGATCTAGATCTAGGTTTATCAAGAAAGAACAGCGTAATGATAATTGTTACTATTAATTATCATTATAATAAATAATTATTAGTTTGCTTAATCTAAATGTATTTTTATTATCACTGTTGTTTTTGTTGTTGTTAATCTTTACCTACTTCGCTCGGTTCTGCTTCAAATGCGGGGTCTGGAACTGGCGATGGCACCACAGATCGAACTCATCTTCTTCCTCTTCTTCCTCTTCTTCCAAATCGACGCCAGAAACGAAATAATCGCATATTACATCTCTAATGTCTTCTTCAGTTGCCATTCTGACATTCCAATGCGTCTAAGAGAATTGAGAAGAGACACAATTTCCTGCTCACGAATAGCAGTACTAGATCTAGATCTAGTACTAGATCTACTACTAACAGTACCGGTAGTAGTAACAGCTGGCATCTCCGCCGTGTTGTTGTGCTTCGAGACGACCTGACAACACAGTCGCTTCTCACAAACTAACTTTAAAAAGCAGCTCTTCAATAAAAGAACAGCTTCAAAGTGTTTATATTACGTCTTCAAAACAAATTCACCACCACATTGAACAGGAATTTCAAGAAATACGGTTTGCTCAGGGCAGAAATAGGCGGTACAAGTTTGTTCTCCAAAGAAACAAAAGGGTATGGATGTGCAAAGTTTCGCTTTGTGTACATGTTCTAGATATTCATGCGCACTACCTGCCATTGGAGAGCAGAGAGAATGACCTAAATTTTAGTATGCAATGTGATTGGGTCGACTTTATGAATGGACAAGAGAAACCATCCGCAGTGTTTACCCTGAAAGCCAGTTTCCTCACGCATTTTTTGGGATTATGCAATATACCTCGGGTTAAAAAACACCTTTTAAAATGTATTTTTAAAGTCAAAATAACCCAAATCCTTGTAAATATCAATAAATCAATGGCTGAAGAATCCATTTTTAATGGAACTTCGTTTTTGTCAAAAATTCTATTTTTGACCTTTGAAGCCTGATATCTCGAATTGAGAAAATGCGACATGTGGTCCCTTTCACCAGGCACACACACAAATGTTGGCTTGCCAGGATTGGATTTTTGTATTCTTTTTAAGAAATAGAAGTTGTCTTGGTACATTGGGTCCCCCCTCTGCTGAAAGTTACCTTCATGTCATGGTACAGTCCTACCTCCAGTTGCAAGTACAGTGAAGTGTTAACTAGAACAGAGATGCCAACCAGTACGATTTTACGTATTTTAGTGCGATTTTTTTCTGAAAATACGCGAATACGACTTTTCATGAAAAAATACGCGTACTGGAATGCGAAAAATACGAGATCCAGTTTGTGCGAGTAAACCTAATTATCTCAAGTCCCATCTTTTGTCAAAATAGTATCAGTATCGCGGAACTGGAATATTTGAAAACCAAGTCCAATAAGGTCGGTAAGTTCATTTTTGCCGGTCGCGATTGTGATATTATATTTCGTTTAGCGTTTCCTCCTCCGAGAGTACATTTCACTTTCACGCGAACAGGCGGCTAAGGCGGCAGACGGAAGTGTATATGACACCGAGGCTTGATTGGGAAAATCAAGATCTACTTTCGCTTTCGTTACCACCTAGAAGTTTGCCAGCGGTAGACTGATAACACAACTTATTTTTGACATCCAGGTTGTGCAGTGTAAACGCTGTGTTGCCGTGCAAATAAAATTTCTCGAACTCGTCTCTGTGCTGTCACTTGTAGGAAAAAAAGAAAAGAAAATACAAGCGTTGTCCGATTTTTTTTCGTTTTTAGATTGTCGGGCTCGCCATCGTGACCGGTCAATGAACCTGCGCCTATTCGCGTCATTAATAAATGCGGCATCGTGTGGGCAAAGACCGTGTTTGGTGGGAGTAACGGCGTTGCGAAGTATAGGACTACGGGGGGATTATTGATTTTTTAAAATACACTCAAGGGGGGGGGGGGGAGGAGGTGTGAAGGCAACACCAGAGGACAAAAACTTGGAGGCAAATTTCAGAATTTTGATTAGAGCTCTCTGCAAAGCGCGCGTTAGTGCAGGCCATGTGCGGAATCGGGACCCTTCATACTTTGAAAGTCTGTGTTATTGAAATAGAATGTTCGCGTGTCATTGGATGGGTGATAGTAAATTATACCTACAGTATATGTTGTAGCTTTCTGTTCAAGACGGACAGATTTTCAGTGTCACTGCATCTTGCCCTCATACAGTTGTTACAACTCTAACAGTGCACGGGTTTACTTTAGCCATTCAAGTTATTGCTCTTCTCTGAGTTTGAGCATTAATTTGAGTCTGTCAGTTCATAATATGAATCATGACACCCTGCCTGGTTCTTGATAATTGAAGTTCTTGTTCTAGGCCCTTCCGAACGCTCAAAACAGGATTAATTTTTTTATAATAATAATGAGAGGAAAATATTATAACAGACTGAAATACTTAAGTCAAGCAAGACCCCAGTACGACATTGAACACTACATGTTGTTGACTGGATACATGTTTATTGTAGGCGTGTGTGCTCCCTTTTTCGAGCTGTTGAGCTAGTAAATTTTTTCAGGAAATATTGAACATTTTACTGGTTGGTCGGTCAGTCGTGGAGAATACACATTTTTCCCCTGAAAATACACATTTTCAAATTTCCCAATACTCCTTTTGGTTTTCTGTGGTTGGCGTCTCTGCTAAAACAAACATCATTTGCATTTTGTGGTGGTTTGTGATGACTTCACTTCTGGAGCCCTTCCATTTCTTTTAATGGTTAGTAATGGCAGGTTTAGTTTAAAGCATAATGCATAAAGCATTCTGAATATTTGCTCTGTAGTTGGATGAAAATCTCTCTATTGAAATCAATGGACACTTTGGATGGAATGTGGGTCCATTTGGAGATACTTTGGGTTTTTGCAGCTTCAAAGTCATCCTGAAATTCAAATACGGTCGTTGCACTGGCACATGTTGATGCTCCAACAGTCCATGTGGGAAATAGGTTTTGAGAAAAAAAACTAATGTCAATCACACTGGGGCTGTGGGATCCAGCTCTACTGTAAGGGAGGGGGGGGGGGGGGAATACCTATGGTGTTGCACTATTAATCCTATCTGTACATCTTGTTTACATATCGTATCCATATGATGTGGGGAACTCTGTGCTACCACTTTCCAAAGAGGAAATTTACTCGTTAATCCGATCGGTGCGCTTTGCATAGCAGTCTGTCAAAATGATCTTTTGAGAAATACTGAAAGTTTCATTTGATCTTCGTACTAGAAGTATTCTAAAAATGCGAAGAATACAACCCTGGGGGTATAAAATGACCGCCAGGCGTGCAGATAAGGTTAAATAAATTTGACATGTAGTCTGATAGGGTTGTTCTCCTTTCTGGTAGCTTGATGTTGGATTTAGGCTGTAAGTTGTATGGTTGTTCCCTGTCTTGTTCTGACATCAGTATCACATCATCTAAAGTAAAGTATCCAAGGAAGGTTATAAACATCAATTTTTGTACCTTTTCTTATGATTTCTTTTTTCATCTTTTCTTATGATTTCTTTTTTTCTATTTTCTTTGCACAGGGGTTATGGTGGCTGGTGAGTGAGCCGGTTGAACTTGACTTCCGAAGAGATACGGTGAGATTGTTGTTTCTTTCTATTTGTGATGTTGATGTACTTGCAGATTGTTTAAAAGAGTGAATTCACATTCTTTTTAAATGCAGTTGACTGGTGTCTTTGGTGTAGCGACGATTAGGTAGATGGTGGTTGGTGGGTGTCTTGGTGTGGTTTATGATTTCTTTCCAATCAAACATCCACTAATTTATCATCCTCATCTTTCCTCCTTTTCTTTGCACGTTACTCCTAATTACTCTCTAGGAACACCTCTGATCTTCGGCACTTATTTGAACTATTTGTAACGCATGTGCCCTAAAACTCAAAACTGAAGCGATTAAGCACTTCACCGTTACACACATGAGACCTGTGTTCAGTTCTTGTGTGAGGGGAATTTTTTATCGAATATCTCACCCTTTCAGCTGGGACATAGTATCCGTCTCAGCCTGGGTTATCTCTGACTGGCAGGGACGAAGCCTGCCTCCTAAATGGTCTTAACTTGTGTCGATAGGGACACAGAAACTAATATTTTAAAAAATATATATTATTGTAGTTAAAACTGTTATATTATTATCTGCCACCTGTATGAGTACTGCAGTATATGTCATGACTCGGTGGAATCAGGCACTCGTCAATTTTTGTGCATGTGGAGTTATTGGTATCTTCTCAAAGCTTGTTCCTTTATCTTGGTTTTTATGAAAAAAATATTCATCTATCTTGAGCAAAAGTGAAGATATTTGTGATTGAAAGAGGTATGTTCACTTGGTTTCAGCCAAAAAAATTGTGAGAAAATGGCTGCCAAAGGTTGGTAACTTCAATAGCTCATGCGGAACTGGTGGGAAAATGTCTGATTTCACCACGATGCCTCCCATAGGCTTTTTACCCAGTTTTATTTTTTTATTCTAACGCTGATATGTATTCTCCAAGAGTACATACTTCTTTGGTTCACAAGTAAAGTTACGTAAGGCATTAAAAGTGATCATGAGTGGTTGGCGGGTGCTCTGGTGTGGTTTGCTCCTTCTTTGTTATCAAACATCTATCGTTCTTACCTCTCCTCCTTTTTTGTGTATGTTACTCTCTTGTTACACATCTAATCTTCGGCTCTTATATGACCTTATAATGTTGCAAGTGCCGTAAAACACTTGTTAAAACTATACTAAAAGTGATCAGGGTTTTACAGTATTTTATGAAGTAGTCTGGCATTGATACCTCAGTGGGCAATTGGCGGGTGTTGTGGTGTGGTTTGATCCTTCTTTCTTCACGGCGTCACTTTTCGCCCGGTTCTGTTACTTTTAGTTCGCGTGACTCAGCAGCCCGCCGGAGCTCCCCGGCTCGGGGTCAGGGGGTTAATGAGCCCTGAAGCGACTTTGCCGGTGTCGGTTAGGAAGTTTGCATTTTTTTACTATGTTTAAAACGATATAATTTCTTCCCCATCCCACATAGCAAACCATTACGCGGATGCACTAAAAGCTCAATGTCTTGAGATTTATTCTGCGTTAGAATGGTTAGTTTCTGTGCCTTAGTTTTTGTTCTAGACAAGTGTTTGTAGAGTACCCAATTTGTCCTATTTTAGTGACAAACTTATGAATAAATTATTGTTAATTCAAAATAGGCTCGACAGATCTCTCTAAAATCTGTGTTAAACTGACTACGAATATCATGTCTTTTACCATGAGAAATCTTAAATCTGCGCGAGTAGTAATAGTCAAGTTATAAGAGAAGAAAGATGCACATGTACATTTTTTAAACTAAAGACGATCGTTAGCTCTTATTTTACTATTAAACAAGAGAAAGTTACTCTGCGTTTGTTCATGAATCGTGCTGTGTCTGTGGCAGCCTGCATACAACTAAAAAGATATAATATAAGCGATTTAAAAAAACACAAAATCGTGTAAATACATGGGTAGAGATAAACTTCGTGTATGGAATAAAAATAATGACAGCTAAAACATTCATTCTTAGTTTTTGTGTAGGAAATATGCGCGGACACAATTATGAATGTAAAGAAATCAGTCACATTGTCAATAATTGCAAATGGTCATAGAAACGGAAAAAAAAGCTGGACAAGTCTGGTGCTGATTCAGTGTCCCTGGAAAGCAAGAAATTATTCTTATAACCCAATTACGAGAAGCCATCCCTATTATTCAGTTAACTTACAAAACCTAGACTTAGTGTTTTAAGAAAAGTAAGGAATTTCTGGAGTGTAACGGATACTGTTCGTATATTAGATCTACGTTGAAGATGTATTCCAGCACTAAAATCGATTTGTACTTGTCATAAAGAAACTACATGGTAACTTTTATAAACTTTCGAGAAAATATGCAAATATTCACGATTATATTAGACACATAAAGTTGTATTTGGAGGAATTACTTCATAGCGAATTGTGTGCCCGATGGATAAAATTGTAAAATTACAGCCTTCTATTATATGCGCAGATACCATCTTTTCTGAGTATCTGCACCAATGTTATGTCGTTCATGTTCCAAAAGTTCGACAGATTTTGACGATGCCTTTTTTTTATATTGATTTTTTTTTCATTCACGCAAGTCCAAAAAAATTACAATTTAGCATTGCCGACTCCAGCGCGTCTAACGAAATAACCAGACAGGTTACAACGTCCGTTCTTTTTTTAATCTCAAGAGCAGAAATGCATGCTTTGGGTGCACTAAATGAGAATTGCCATAAATACAAGGATACACCTTAAATTGTACGTTGAAAAGTACCAAAAGTTAGGTCGGCCCAGACAGAGCGGCGACAGGGAGCTGACCCCCGTGACCCCGATGTGATAAGGCGCCCAGCGGGGAACCCCCCGCGGCAACTAAAATTCCACTGCCGGTGCGCCGTGTCTTATAAAACGTCATCTCCTCTCCTTCTTTTTTGTGTTTGTTGTTCTCTCTTAACACCTCTAATTCAAATCTCTGGCACTTATATGACCTCATTGTGTTGCAAGTGACGTAAAACTAAGGGCAAGGATAGGCAAATGTGTTTGACTCATCCATACTTCGGGTTGACCGATATAGGCAGCAATGGAAGAGATATCAGTTGGGGGAATGGCAAATTGTACAAGCTGTTCTCGAATGTATCTTTTCCTGTTTTCTGAAATGCTGTATCCCGCGAAGCTAGGGTTGACTCTGACAGGTAAGTTCGATGTAGACTCTGCTTCACACAGTGATGTAAGTCATGTCTGCAGGTGGTTTAGCACATTTTCAGTGGCAGTAAATTTATGTCCTAATGTTAATTCATTTTCTTTTTTGTTTGCAGGAAGATGATGGTTGCTTGATGAGTGACTGAGAGATACAGACCTTTCTAGAACTTTTGATCCATGGGATTAATTTTTAATATGCTGTTGGTTTTTTTTCTTTGTTTTTGTTAGCTTGACGTTGTAATTTGATTTATTTTTAAAAACTATTTTGCCTTTTATATATGAGTAGAGATTCTCATACATTTTCTAACTTAAGGTTCCACGTTGCTGGGGTGGATTCATTTACTCAATGAGAAGGTAGTGGAGCGTCATTCCTAGTAACTTTGCCATGCAATACTTACCACATAGAGATGTTTTTCTGTTATGGGATTATTTGTTTGAAGTCAGATGCTGCATCCATTACATTTTCACTCCTACTATCAGTTCACCAGACTGCTCAAGTCTCCATGAATTTTATGTATTGACATTTTTTTGTGTTATTTTTGTGTTGCTTTTTTTCGCCCACTCATTTTTGTTAAAATCAATGAATGGAATGGTGCACTTGGCTGAAAATAAATGACTGCTCACATTTTCTGTTTGTTTTCTTGTTGCTTTAAAAAAAAAAATTTAATGTGGAGTTTTACCTGGAAGGGTATGTTGCCAGTGGTGTGGTGTTGAAGTCAAAAGGTCTGGTGTGTGTGTGTGGTTACATTATATATAAATGCTTTTGCAAGATGCTCTGCATACTTAACTTTTCAGTCAGTGTGGATGGTTGACGGGAGCTCTTGTGTGGTTTGCTCCTTCTTTCATCTTTCCTATTGAACATCTGTCGTCCTTTTCTCTCATCTTTTTTTGTGTTGGTTGCTCCCTTATTATAACGCATGTCATCTTCAGCACTTGTATAACCTAGTTGTGTTGCAAATGCCAAAGTTATAATGCTGACTAAAACAAAAATCTCTCCCTATCATTATAAAGGTAATCATAAGAAGCAAAGTGCTCCATTGACTCTATTTTCTCTTGGTCATTCTCTCCCTATCATCATGAAGGGAAATACAGTAGTATAAACCAAAGTGCCCCCATAATGATTCACTCTGTTGTCTCTCAGTCCTTTTCTCTTCCTACTTGGAAGTTAACCAGAAAGCAAAGTGCTTCTCATTCAAAGCATTATCATGAGTTAGGATAACGGCTTGAACACACTGAGTCTTTCCTGAAATAAATGTCCAGGAATATACAGTGGAACTCGGATTCAACGAGGTCGCCGGGCCTGACCAAAAATCTCGTTGAATCCGAGTGTTCGTTATAGCAAACACGAGGTTTTGTGTAGATAATTACAGGCACTGAGCAAGTAATGTATAAAGAGAAGTCACAAGTACTGTCTGAAATGCCTGCATATTATAAACTGTGTAAAAAAAAGACCGATTCGTTCAAATGCACACACCTGTGTCATCTCGATTGTTTACCAAAAAGTTGTGTTGCTGTGTAGAGCCTAGCATACGACAACTTTTGATTCCATAGACCAGTGCACAATTCATTACATAGATCTACGTCAAGACTAGCTTATCTATCATTGTAATAATGATCAGTTGCTGAGGGGGAAAAAAGACTGACGCATTTTTTTATCTGCGATGTTCAACGCCCGGCCGCTAGTGCTCCCCCCCCCCCCCCCTTTTCCCCCATACGCACACACAGCCACACGTGTGCAGGCCGCCCTCCCGATCCCGACACACGCCAGAGTAGACACGTTCTCGAGCCAACAACGTATGTGTTGGTATGAAAAAAGGCCGCTGGTTGGTCGCATGCAATCGGCTAAGTGAATAATGCCAATGGTTCATGATCAGGTGCAATGATGGTTTCCGGGAATGGATGAATTTCGTTCTGAGAGAAAAATTAGCGAAGCCACGTCTGCGGGGGCTGTTCACCCTGGAAGCGACCTCGGTGAATCCGAGCTCGCTGATTTAAGTGCTCGTTGAATCCGGGTTATTTTTATTGATTTTAAAGAAGAAGAAAAAACGGGGAATCTATCTCATCTCGTTGAATCCGAGTTCTCGTTGAATCCGAGCTCGTTGAATCCAAGTTCCACTGTAACTACATGTAATATTATAGCTTGTTTTCTTTTGTCTGTCCGCTTTTAAAAAATTGTAACTCATTTATTAATTAAGCTGTGCTCACGAAACTTTGCATGACACTTGTGCAGGCCAGCGACCTAACAAAAATATTTTTTTTCGAGAAAGTCTTGATCCAGTATATAAACAACTTTTTCTCTTTGGGCCCTATATTATAAACTGTTCTTTGGGTACATACGCAGGATCACTAAAATAAATAAATTACTTTGACCTAGCCTTCAAATTGCTCATTTTGAGACTGGGACACTACCCTGCCCCCTCATTTCAATGTAAGCTTTTACTTGTAGGTTTTATCTCCTGACTGTCTAGACTCTCCATGTGTCTCAAAAATCACCCCATCTCTGGAATCCCTGTTGCTTTGTCTTACGTTGAAGTGCGGTGTTGTGGAAAATATGTCCACCTTTTAATGTTTTAGGTGTGTGCTAGAAATACCCTATTACTTTTTTCTTCCTGCTTTTGACTAACGATCATCAAAGAAAGTGTTTTGGAACAGTTTACACAGTGACCTATGAATGAATGAGCTTTTAGTTTTAGATTCTGTTGGTCATCTAACTTTTAGAATCGTATGGAAAGATTGGAGAAGATTAAAACCGTGCAATATTATTTTACCTTGTTAAAAATGTTTTAACCGCGGTCAGATCAAAGTGAACGAGCTGTAGTTTAGTAATACTTATACAAAATACAAGAGGATGTTTCATTGAGCTGTTACGTCTATTATTGTGCACAAAACTGCATGCAGTGCATGTGCTCAACATAAAGGACACACAGCTGTGATGTAGCAGTTAGAGGTGCTTTGGCATTGCACATGGAGGACTTAAGTTTGATTCTAGTGTTAGAGAATTTTATAGATTTTTATCAAGGACACTGTATCCCAGCTGTCTTTCTGTTGTGACGTTGCATCCCTCTCGGCCCAGGTAGGCCCTGATGATAGACTTGGCCGAATCCTGCCTCCTAAACCTCAATGATTTTAATTGTGTTGATGGGAACGTGTAAAACACCTATGGTACATTTAAAATAAAAAAGACCTAAAGAATACTTTGAACAGATCTTTAGTGATTTTTTTAGTAATTAAAAAAAAACTATGTCCTTCTGTCTGCAGGGATATTGTGTCCCGCTCAGCTGGAGTTGGCCCTACCCCAGGCATTGTGGAGCAGCCTGCCTCCTAAATGATATAAACTGTGGCTGAGGATGACGTAAAAGTAGTCACCAAGGCCTGTGTGCATGTCGGAACAAGTTAGCTTAAACGCGGTTAGCTGTAGGCCTACGGGCCCTAACCGTGTATAAACCCTAACCGGATTTTGTATGCACGTTGCGCAAAATGGAAATATATAGCTAAACGCAAAGTGCAACGTGAGGTACAATAAAACTCGGATTCAACGAAAGGAGTTGGATTTCCAAATTTTTAAAATTTTAATGAAAATCTATTTTTTTAAAATAAATAAATCGGATTCAACGAACACTTAAAAACGAGCAAGCAAGCTCGAATTCAACGAAGTCACTTGCAGGATGAACTGCTCTATCCGACCAGTCACCGGCCTCCTTTCATACCAACACTGACGTTGTAATCACGCACCCATGTCTCAATCTTATCTTCTGTCGAGGTCGCATGGGCGACCAGAACACGTGTGTTGGGGGGGGGGGGGGGGAAGGGGGTACAAACGATCCGAGCGTGGAACGTCAATAGACAAACGGGACACAGTTGGTTTTTTTAAAATCCTGGCTACCAACTACATGTAATCAATATTATATATATATATAAATGATAAGCTAATCTTGGCACAGAATAGACCTACGTAATGAATTGCACGCTGAACCGTAGAAAGCTATAGACTATGGGCTACTGGAATCCCCCCCCCCCCCCTGGGGATTTTTGCTCACTATGATTTTCTGAAAGAGCACACTCAGGACTAGATCTATGCACCCAAAAAAAAGTTTGCACCAAAATGTTAGCAATCTGCGGAGTTATTGCCCCTGAATTGTCGAAAATTGACTTTTAAAAAAAAAATTCACTTTTTTAGTTGGTATTCTGATTTTCTTTTACTTTAGACTAAAGTTGGTGTTGTAGGTTAGAGAAAAAGTTATACTGAACTTTTTGAGGTAGTTATTTACATAGCCTATAGAGAAAAAAAACAATGTTTTAATTTTAAGTCCGTTTTCTCTAAAAATTGATAACAGCCGCACAAAGTATAAGTTATAAGCGTAATACACTCCCTGCTGGGTATTAACACATCAAAGGAAAAGCTACACCTGCAAAACATTTTTAGTTCAACAAAAAATCAGTACAATGCAGAGTTACAGACTGGCCTTAGCAATGCAGATGGATATTGGCTATTTGTGTACATGATGTTTTATAATATTGAGTTGTCTCGTACAAAGAAATTTATATAATTGAGAAAAAGATTATAGCATCTAGAAATTGACTTGCATAGAGCATAATGTGTAACAGAAGTGAATTGCTTGGGTGCTAGTTATCCAAATTTGATACTGTAAGTCAGTTGGTGTTGCATGTAAAGTCTTACTTAGACTTAGATGCTTTCTATGTCATAGGTTCATCTTCACTGCTGTCACTTCCAGAATCTGAAATCTCATCTTCTTCATCACATATGATAGAAGAGATGGTTTTCATCGTTGTCTTCCTCTTGTTCTGTATCTGATCCTGACAAAATATCAACCAATTGTTGAGGGACCAAGTCTTTACACCAATCCACTGAGAGCACTCCACCATTTTCTCTCTTCCAACCATGATCTTGCGGATCAGGCACATTTGTATTAATGGTTGAGCCAGATGTGCTTGCTTGCATATATAGGCTAAAACAGCACCTGGACATGGGTGGCATTAAAGTTTAATACTATTAATAGTAATAGTAATAGTTTACGCCTAGGATGTGCAGCTTCAGGGCTTCTTTCGTATGGTGTCATGTACTTTAGCCTTACAAGGTCATGACGAAACTTGATTCTGCTTGAGTAAGCTGGCTTTCCGTACAGGTGACAACAAACTTTTCCAGATTGAAGAAACAGTTTCAGATGTTCCTAGCTCCTTGAATGAAACAGCAAACTCTGGATGCTTGTGGAGAATGGTGAGCGACTTCACCGTTCCTTTCTGGACAAAAGCGCTAGTCTCCTTACATCCAAAGGATGCATGGAGTCCAAGAATAGAATCCTGCAAATGTGTTTCCATTTTGCAACAGACTGTGTAGACATCTTCTTTTTTTCCCAACCCCTGTGTCAAAATTCAAACTGTGTGTGAAATGTTGAACAAATGCAATTGTCAGTAGATAGACATCAGGGTCTGGGGACCGAATAATGATGTCTGTGTTTGGAGTAGCAATGTTCTGATCAGAGAAGACGGCATGCACGACCAGTAGTGTGTCTGCTTCCTCGTGGCAGGAGGATAACTCTGGAGCAGGTCTTGAGTCTGTAGTCTTTCCATCACTGCTACTGAGGACAAAGCACTTTTGGTCACTTGCAAA